AGTGCAGTTTTATTAAAATATAAAAGAAAGTTTAATTGTGTGAACGATATTTTTTTATAAAACGATAAAGAAAAAACTTGACCTGCTAAAGAAATTTACACGTGACTCAACAAAAACGCCGAAGTACTTTCACTTTTGGGAAGACGATAAATACTGGTGTCCAGCCCTTCAATTTTGAATAATCCATCACTCCTTTTGTTTGCTGAATTTTGTTCGTCTTTAAGAAAATGGGAAGCTTAATATGGTTTTCCCAAATCCTCTGCCTCTCCTTCATGTTGTTGCAGTTTCGAGTCCAAAGCGCCTCACCTTCTCAATCTTCTCTTTCATCGCCACATTTGTGCCGTTCTGAGGAGCGTTCTGCGTTGCTTGATTTCAAAAGCACTACTAATTTGGTGAAATACTGTTCTAGTAGTAGTGATATAAAACAAACTTGGAACGAGAGTAAAGACTGCTGCTTGTGGGAGGGCATCACATGCGACAAGCCGAAAGGTCACGTGATTGGCCTTGATCTTAGCAGTAACTGTCTTGAAGCCAATCTAACTACAAAAAGTAGTCTTTTCCGCCTTGAGAAATTGCAGAGCCTCAACCTTGCTTACAATGAATTTAGCTACCCCAATATATCATTTGGGTTCCACAATTGGAAGAGTTTGACATATCTTAATCTCTCAAGTATGATATTTCATTTTTTTTTTCTCTTTTGTTTAAAATCCCCATGCTTCCAAAACTGGTTTCACTTCTTCTAATGTGACAAATCTTTAACTTTGCAGATGCAGGATCTATGGATAGTTCTCTCTTGTTCGATGAGATCTCTTTGCTATCGAAATTGGTTTCACTCGATCTCTCCAGCAATTATGGTTTGCTTAATCTTGACAACATAAAGTTTCAAATGCTTGTGCATAACTTAACAGAATTAAGGTTTCTTATCCTTGATTCTGTGGATATGTCTTCGGTTGTGCCTTCTTCCTTGCTAAACTTGACTCCTTCCTTGGAGCATTTGAGCCTTCGCTCTTGTAATTTGCAAAGAAACTTTCCAAGCCAAGTTTTTCAGTTGAAAAAATTGGTCTCACTCGATCTCTTTGGTAATGATGATTTGCTTCTTGACAACATAAAGTTTCAAATGCTTGTGCATAACTTAACAGAATTAAGGTTTCTTATCCTTGATTTTGTGAATATGTCTCCGGTTGTGCCTTCTTCCTTGCTAAACTTGACTTCTTCCTTGGAGCATTTGAGCCTTAGCTCTTGTAATTTGCAAGGAAACTTTCCAAACCAAGTTTTTCAGCTTCCATCTCTCCAGTTTCTTGATTTAAGTTACAATTATTATTTAAGAGGTAATTTGCTTGAGTCAAACTGCAGTAGTACCCTAGAGTATTTGAATCTTGCAAACACAAACTTCTCAGGAGAGTTGCCTCATTCGATCGGAAACCTTAAATTCCTGAAGAAATTGAATCTTGATAGCTGCCAATTTTATGGATCAATTCCGAGATCTCTTGCAAATCTTACAGAGCTAACTGATTTGCGCTTAGATGCAAACAATTTTGGTGGTGAGATTCCTGCATCAATCTTCAACCTCACCCATCTAACTTTTTTGTCACTATCATCAAATAAGCTATTAGGTCATGTACCTTCTTGGTTGTTTTCTCTGCCTTCTATATCCTATTTAGATCTCCATAACAACTGCCTTACCGGCCCTATTGATCATGTTGAGATGCCTAATCTCATTTTACAACGAGTCTATTTGTCCAATAATGAGATAAGTGGTTCAATTCCTAGCTCCTTCTTTGATCTTGTGAATCTTACTAGAGTCAACCTTTCTTCAAATAACTTAAGTGGCACCATTACATCCGACATGCTTTTGAAGCTTGTAGACCTTGAGGAACTTGATCTTTCCAATAATAGTTTGCTGTCTTTGAGCAATAATGACACTGCTGTCAACTATTCCTTTCCGAACCTCCTGTCTTTAAAATTCTCTTCTTGCAACATCCATAAGTTCCCAAGTTTCTTAAGCAAGGCAGAGAGTTTGCTACATTTGGATATTTCCAATAGTGAGATAAGTGGTTCAATTCCTAGCTCCTTCTTTGATCTTGTGAATCTTATTGTTGTCGACCTTTCTTCAAATAATTTAGGTGGCACCATTACAGCCAACATGCTTTCAAAACTTGTAAACCTTCGGAGTCTGGATCTTTCCAATAATAGTTTGTTGTCTTTGAGCAATAATGGCATTGCTGTCAACTATTCCTTTCCGAACCTCCAGACTTTAAAATTCTCTTCTTGCAACATACACAAGTTCCCAAGTTTCTTAAGGAAGGCAGAGAGTTTGCGAGAATTGGATATTTCCAAGAACAACATTTCTGGTCAAATTCACAAATGGGAAATAGAAGGGATGTCATTGCGTATTTTAAACCTTTCTTATAACTTCTTGACTGGGATAGATTCATTTGGTTCTGGAAATCTTGAAACTGTTGACCTCAGATCCAACTTACTACAAGGATCACTCCCCATTCCATCAACTTGGGATTCAATGCAACAACTCTTCATTTCAGGGAATAATTTGAATGGCGAAATCCCTTTTTCTTATTGCAATTTGACTTCTCTTGGAGTTCTGGATTTAGCTTATAATAGTTTGGGAGGAAAAATTCCAGAATGTCTGGGAAACTTGAGTAATCTCGCCTTCTTGGATCTACGGATGAATAAGTTTCAAGGTAGAATACCAAATTCTTTTGTCAACAAAAGTGAACTGAGAACTCTTACCCTAAATGGCAACCAGTTGGAAGGTATATTGCCACGGTCTTTGGTTAATTGCAGTAACTTAGAAATTCTAGATGTGGGGAACAACAACTTGAATGATACCTTTCCAGATTGGTTAGGTGTTCTTCCATCGCTAAAAGTTCTCATCCTTCGATCTAATGGATTTCATGGTGCTATCAACAATTCTATGCCTGCATCTTACTTCCCTCAGTTGAGAATCATTGATGTTGCGCAGAATGATTTCATGGGTCTCCTACCGAGCAACTATTTCCAAATTTTGAGAGGTATGAGAGATGTAGCTACAGCTGATAAATTGGAATACATTGGTGACGGGCAAAGAGGTCATTTAATAAGATGTACACCACGTGGACAGTGTGTAGTAGAAATTCCTCAGTTTTATTATAAGGATTCTGTGAAGGTTGTAATGAAAGGGTCAGAGAGGGAGCTTGTAAGGATCTTGAAATTTTTCACAACTATAGATTTCTCGAGCAATCAATTTCATGGATCGATTCCTGAAGAGTTGGGAGAACTTAATTCACTTAAAGGGCTAAACTTGTCTCACAACAGTCTCACAGGTCAAATTCCCTCATCGTTGGGGAAATTAGCAGAACTCGAGTCATTAGATCTCTCATCAAACAAGCTTGAAGGCAGGATTCCTGAGCAATTGACAAAGCTGACGTTCCTATCAGTTTTGAATCTTTCACACAATGAACTTGTGGGCCACATACCTGAAGGGAAGCAGTTCAATAGTTTCTCAAATGATTCTTACATTGGAAACTCTGGGTTGTATGGATGCCCATTAACAAAGAATTGCCACGAGGAGGAAGAACCAGTAGCACCTCCAAAATTTGATGAAGAGGATGACTCTGCAACACTCTTTGAGTGGAAGTTTGCATTGGCAGGCTATGGGTGTGGACTGGTGTTGGGACTTAGTCTGGGATACATTGCCTTCACTACAGGAAAACCATGGTGGGTGGTGAAGGAAGTGGAGAAATATCAACAGAAATTAGTTGGAAGATGCAAACGAAGGCATAAGAAGAGGAAAACCGAAAAACCCAACCAATGCTCTTAGGTGAGTAAGTTTCTACAACTCTCTCTAAAATATTTGTGTTCTATATAAGTTCTAACCATAAAAATCAACGCATATTATATAATAGTGAAATTTAATTTTTCTACTTTTGCTTTATTTTACATAGGTGAAAGCAGGTGCAGTTGATTTCCTAGTCTGGGGAGATCTGGCAACAGTTGCTTCTTGAGTTTGTTTCCATATTTTTCATGTTCATTGTTGATATATAGTTGTGTTGACTTGTGTAGGAATTATTGTTATGTATGAATTTGTGTTGATTTCTTTTGGATTTCATCCATCTGCTCTGCAGGCAGTTGCTCATGTATTTTTCTTGGTGTAATTGGTTTCTTTTAATGTTATTTATCTCTTTGTATTTTATTCTCTTTTTCTTTGTTTTGGTTGCCTTTGAACGGTGCGCTTTACTGAAGCAAAATGTCAAAATTCTTTAATTTTTGGACCCCGAAAACGTCTCCTTTCACCATAGTTCTCCGATCGGTGTGGAAGCAGAGATGCATCTGACGAATCTTGGATTATTACTTAAGAAGGCTGGGTGAGGGACGATCCCAACCTCCTTTGCTCTCCGGAGGCCCACCCTCTAGCCATCGCCAAACTTAAGTCTTGTTCTTTGGCTGGTGATTTGATTCATAAGCAGGTAATTTTCCTTGGTGTTTTCCTTCTTTCTGGAGATATTAATTTTTGTCTTAAAGGGGGAAAGCTGTAATTTTCTCTGTGTGGAATAAATTAATGTGTTTTGCCTTTACTACTTAAATTTAAAAATTTTAGATATTACTATGCTGCATATGCCAAGATTGAGATACGATATTTCTGTCTCTTAAAAACATCATATGTAGGTTAGTATTAACATATGTAAGTTCCAGGTTTCATTTGTAAACTTTTATTTAAATTCTAAGGTTTATACACTGTATTCATGGCTAGTTAGTGTAGGTCATCAATGGATATTTTTGCCGAGATAAATTAGAGTTATATTTGTTGTTCTGTCTGCGAATTCATCAATGGATATTTTTCTTACAAATAATATATCCTGCAAGCATCCTAAAATTGAGAGTCTATGGAGCTAAGAGAGAGATGACCCAAGATTACATCCTCAGCAAAGGTTTCTATTGTCATGGCTGAAGTAATTGCTTGTTTTGATGGTTCTGATATTCAGGTATTTATTTTGTAGTGAAAGGCTAAGAGTTATTGTTGAAACTTGAAAAATGTCTTTACTTGTTATTGTCATTGATATTGGGTTGTCTTGTGAATTATTTCTTGTGTCTGATGAGAAGCAAAAATAAAGAAAGTTGTGTCTGGAAGATATTTTTCTTCTCATGTTGTGTTCGTTAAGGGAAGGCAATTCATTTATCAGGAATGTAAATTGTTCCATTAAGAAAACTGTGTAACAACCTTAATTTATTGTAAGTTCTATTTATCTAATAGACTGTTTCAATAAGGTCAAGCACTTGAATTTGTCTAGCAACCTCAACTTACTGTAAGTTCTATTTATGGCATTTATCATTTTTTTGCTTGCGTTGTATTAAGTCTCAGACCCATTTTCCTACTTTTTCTTTCTCATTTGCTCTGTGTGCTCACCAAAACTTTGTATTACTCTGGACCTGGATTAACAAATAGAGATTCCTTTTTGTTATGAGATTTAGTTAATTAAAGTGTAATGGAAATTGCAAAAGCAGTTAATGCAGGTCTTATATGTTTTTGTTATATTAAGGTGTCTAAGGTGATTTTGATACTGTGTTGCTGTCTATTCATCCTGGATGCTGTTGCTTTTTAAATTTTATTTTCCATTTAGCCTTTATGGGATTAGCACTCTTCTTTTAGTTGTTTTAATTCTTAGTTGTTCTTTTTGAAAGCCTCTTGAATGTTTTATTAATTTCATCACAGTTTCTCCTTTGATGTTTTTGGCCAATCACTGCAGAAATGGGGAAAGTCACCTTGTCACAGAGTGGTACATTGTCTTCCATAACCAGTCCACCTTTTTTTACCACCAAAAATCTAACAGTTTCTCTTTGCACTTCACTAACATCATAATGACATTTTTTAACAACCTCAATTTACTGTAACTCTATAAGTTATATTTGTAGTATTTCTTATTTTTTAGCTAGCTACATTTCCTGTTTTAGTGTCCCAATTTCCTGCTTTTCCTTTCTCATTTTGTTCTGTGCACCCATTGATGCTTTTATACGTGTGGACCTGTATCAACTAATAGAAGTACTTATTGTCATGAGATACGGTTAAAGTGTAATAGAAATAAGGAAAGTAATTTAGGCAGGCCGGTCTTGTTTCTGTTCATTTGTTGTTTGTGTATTAGTTAATTATCATTGTAGCTGTTGCATTTTGATAATTACTATGATGATTCTGCGATAGTAATAGTGAAAGGTTTAAAGGTGGAGCTCAAGAGAATCCTGACAATTTTCTCAACTATTGATTTTTCAAGTAATAGATTCCAGGGACACATTCCTGAAGAGCTGGGAGAACTCAATTCACCTCATTTGCTAAACTTCTCTCACAACAGTCTCACCGGTCAAATTCCATCATTTCTGGGGAAAATGACAGAGCTTGAATCACTCACTAGATCTCTCGTCAAACAAGCTTGATGGTAGGATTCTTGAGGAGCTGACAAGTTTGACATTCCTTTTAGTTTTGAAGCTTTCACACAACAAACTTGAAGGTGACATTCCTCAAGGGAAGCAGTTCAATACATTCTCAAATGATTCCTACATTGGGAACTCTGGGTTGTGTGGATTTCCATTGACAAAGAAATGCCACAAAGAGGAGGAACAAGGAGCACCTCCATCACAATTTGATGAAAAAGGTGACTCTGCGGCACTCTTTGAGTGGAAGTTTGCATTGGCGGGCTATGGGCATGGACTGGTATTGGGACTTAGTCTAGGATACATTGTCTTCACTACAGGAAAACCGTGGTGGTTGGTGAAGAAGGTGGGGAAATATCAAGAGAAATTTGTTGGAAGATGGATCTGCAGGCGTAAGAAGAGAAAAACTCAAAAACACAACCAACGCTCTTAGGTGAGTTTCTACAGCCTCTTTTTATTTGTGCTCCTTCTTCTAAGCACAACAATGGATAGAATAGTCGTAATAATTTTTGTAATTTTGCTTTCTTTTCCACAGTAGAAGCTGCGGGCGGTTGGCTTTCTTTCTTCCTCCAAGAAGATCTGACAAAATAATGTGTGCATGAACTTAATTAGTTGGCAGCATAAGCTGCAGGCAGTTGCCTTCTCTTTCTGTGATTGTTATGTCTGTTTAAGTGAATTATTATTTCATGTTCAATGTTTGTTGAAAATTTTGGCTAAAAACTGGATGTTTTTTATGCTATATCACTTTTTTAAGTTTTTCTTCCATTCCTTTCCTTTTAACGGTGCGTTTTAACGAAAGAAATGAAACTTTTTATGTTTAATGTGCGGACTGCACACGTTATCTTCTTCCTTTTACCATACTTTTGTCCGAGCGGTTGAAATTGAAATTGCAATCAATGCCGAATTGGACACATCCGACGGATGTGGGTTGCAATTGCATCACCTGCGAGTGGCTGAACGATCGCGGATCTGGTAGGAAAGGCTGAAGAATGACACCACCATCCTTTGCCCTCTGGACGCTAACTCTCTTGACATCGCCAACGGAAATCTTTTTCTCGGCCTTGGATGGTCTGATCTACTGATCCGGATGAACGAAGAGTCAAGATCCGACCCTACCCGATCTGTACTCGAGTTGCTGGTTTTTGACGAGATTAGGGTAGCAGTCAGTTTATGCTTTGGCTGGTGATCTGATTCATAGACAGGTAAGAAGCTGTAATTTTTTTTTATTTTTATTTTTTGTGTTTTCATTTTTCTTTTTGGATTTTAAACTCTTGTATTTTGTTGTGATTGGGAGTTGTGCAATCCAGATTGTAGCAGATTGCATAACTAAATTCATTGGATGTGGCGAGTCTGAATCCCATCTAAGGGTTTATGTTTTACCGTCCTGATTGCAAAACATCATTCTTGTCACAAAAACTGTGTTAAAATATGATAATTTCTTTGAAAAAATTATGTGTATATGTGAAATTACGAAACATATAGAAAATATTAATTACTTGGTGGGTGAATAAGTGTTGGGTAAATTGATGATTTTTGCTTAATTACCTAACTGGATGGTATGTTGTGTTTTGTGTAAACTCAAAAATCAGATAATTGTTGTCTGCTTGCGCAGATATAAATAAAATGTTTGTTCCTAATTAAAATAGAATCTCTGAAACGAAATATATACATTAGCATTTACATATTGTATGTTTCCGAGTTGCATAGTTTGAAGGAAGGTATTAATAAGCTTATATATCATATGCTCTTCTTCATGAACTTTTATTTAGACTCTGAATTGTATAAACTGTATTAATATATATTTTTGCTTATTGATGGTATTTTCTACAAGCATCCTACAATTAAAAGTCCATGAAAGGTGGAACTAAAGATGACCCAAAGACACATCCTCAGAGGAGTTTCTCTTATCATGGCTGAAGTACTTGCTTGTTCTGTTGACTCTGATGTTCAGGTACCTAAATAGGTGCCAAAGCCAAAGAGTTATTGTTGAAACGTGAAAAACTTCTTCACCTGCTGTCATTAATATAGTATTATTTTGACGAATTATTTTTTTACATCCCTTCTGGTGATGTAGAGTTTGTTTCAATGAAGGTCTCAAGAAACTCATCTCACTTTTGGGACCAGAAACCCAACAAGAGAAGCTGAAGACAATCTGGAAAATTCTTATGGTAGATTTCCACATTATGGAATGTTTACAGGTATGGAGCATGTATTGATGCAGCAATCACTGGCATAAATGCCTCCTCCCTTGATGTAACTCTAGGTGATTCCTTTTGTAAGTTGCTGTAATTAGTTCACAAATGTTTTGTATGGGAGTCCTTCTAATGGTCTATGGTTCCGAGTAGCAATTGGCTATACATGCTTTCTACAATACAGATTAAATATATAAAAGATTTCTTTTCCTTGTTTCATTTTAGATTTCTCCCAACTCATTTGTGGTTCATTTCTGGTAATGCTGCTTGCTCTTTGTCAACTAATGAATAATGGAAACTTTCTGAAGTTATTCTGCTGTTTGAATCCAGCTTGCTTTTATTGTTGGGCAGTCAAATGTTGACAGTCACTATTGCAAATGATGCAGTAATCTCAGCTTTCAGCCTTTTAAGTCAGTTTGCAATATGACGTGCAGCTCATTTCATAATAGATTGTGACAATTATTGATTCTTTTGTGGATCTTCCACTCTCATTTAGTCATTTTCTTTCGTGGTGGTGTCTCATTTACTATTTTTTTATCGGCAAAGATCTCATTAACTTTGTCTTTCTCATTTTGCTTTGTGCACTCACCAACACTTCTGTTACTCTAGGCCTGCAGTAATCATAGAGACTCCTTTATTGTTAAGGGATTCATGAGTTAAAGTGTAATGGAAATTGGGAAAGTAGTTAATGTAGGCCTTATGTGTTTCTGTTATATTCACACATCCAAGGTAATATCGTGTGATATTGTGTGTTGCTGTCTATTCCTCCTGGATGTTATATATTGCTTTTTGAAATTTATTTTCCATTTAGCCTACATGGGATTAGCACTCTTCTTTTAGTCGTCGTAATTCTTATTTGTTCTTTTTGAAAGCCTCTCAAGTGTTTTATTGATTTCATCTCCTTTGACGTTTTTGAAGGATCACTGCAGAAATGGGGAAAACTCACCTTATCACTAAGTGGCATATAGTTTGGTTGCCATAAACAGTTTACCTAGTTGTATATTGCTTTTAGGCACTCAGGCACTTGTGGTACTACTGCAGAAGGTTTGTTCAGTGCCAGTCATTTGAACATCTTTAAAAGATGGAGCTCTCTTAACTGAATAATGGATTTCACTTATTCTTTCAGAGATATCAAGATGCCAGCTGCTTGTTCTTGAGATGCTTGTCAATTGTTGAGTTGAAGTTCCTCTTGCTTTGAACTGACAAAAGAGTGACTATTGCCTCTGTCTAGCTATTCATGCTCTTCAGAAAGGAATTCTTGAGGTATGCTTAAAACTTTTAAGATATGTTTAGGTTGGAGAAAGAAGTCTCAGATTGAAATCAATTTTCTCTTAAATATAATATGAAAACCTGTCACCCATTGTATTTATTGACTGAGTGTGGAAATGGGGGGCTCTATTGGTATTACCTACTAAGTCCTTTTATAGATTACTATCACTAGTTCTTGTATAAACCTGCTGTCTTTCCATATTGTTGCATCTTCTTAGGCCAACACACACAATCTATTTCCCCTATCAGGGGATGCTTTGAACATTTTGTTTCAATACTGTAAATAAACATGATTGATTTTTTCTATATGGTTGCAACTTTTGGTTGTGGGAGGAAATAGGTGCCATTTCTATGCCTTTGATTTTAGTCAGGGTTGAGTAAACTATGTCCATGATTTGCTACCCTGCGTATGTTTGATGTATTATCCTTTATGTAGAAGTCAAAACCAATTTTCTATATATATTTTACACTGCAGAATACCTAAACCTTTTTTTAAACACATCAAATGCAGGTTTGGAAGATGAGAACCAGACCGACTGGCAGATGTGATTACATTATTCTCTACCCAATAAGAGAAATTAAGAAAGTTGTATTAATCAAATAATATTTTGTTTCCATCCCCTCTCTGGTCATGTAGAGTATGCTTCAATGATGGTTTATTGGATTGTGTGTTGAAGCAGCAGTCACTAGCATAATGCTTTAATTTGTATTCTGATTGGAGATAGACATTCACATACTCAAATCAATTTCTCTTAAATAGAATGCCTTATATTTTCTATTTTGTTCTAATCAAAATACTCAAAATTTTTTCTTAAGAAAATCTATCGCCCCCTGGAATTATTGATTCGATTGCCCACTAACACGTGAGTCCTTTATTAGATTACAATAACTAGCTTGTATTAATGGCCTGTTGTGTTCTTTCCATGGAGTATCTCGTTTATCAACACAAATAATTTATTTCCACGATCAGGAGATGCTTTGAACCGTTATGTTTTTATTTTGTAAATGAGGTTGCACTGGAATTAAAAATATTAGAATATTTAATCACAATTATAAGATAAGTGGAATATAATATAAATTTTACTTAAATTTCATGTTATGTGGTTGAAATTAAATATTTTAATATTTTTAATATCAAAATATTTTAATTTTTACTTTTTTATTGTAAATAAACATGATTGATTTTTACTTTTCTTTTATAACGTATGGTTACAACTATTTGTACGCCTTTTGAGTCTATTTAGGTTTAAGTAATTTTGGTACCCTGCAGTCCGTACGGGGCCTTATGCTTTATATGGAGTTGGCAGTTGCAACCAGTCTTGCATTCTACACAGCCGGCGACCGAATACCCGACCTCATTTCTTTTGAACATAACGAATGCAGACATGACAGATGAGCACTGGACCGTGTCTTCTTACTATTCACCGTGCTAAGGGCAGCATATTACTACGACCTACATACTGGTGATTTCAATTCACAATGAACTTGTGGGTCACAGTCCACATTCCTCTAGGGACCATGTTTCATACCTTTTCAAATTCATTTTTACATTAATCGGGAACTGATGACTGAGTGGAATTTTAGTGACAAAGAACTGCAGCAGTGACAAAGAAGCAGAACTGCAGAAGCACCTCTATCAAAATTTGATGAAAAGATGATTCAGCTGTAATATTTGATTGGTTTGATTGAATTCACAAAACCGGCTCCAGCTTGAATGTCTTTAATATTAATTTGAATACAAGGTTTAGTGTTAGATTTCTTTTGAACTGCATCAGTGAGGTTATTAGAGCAGCTTCAATAGTATGTCTTCCCTTTCATTGGAGGGTTCTTGATTAAGAAACTCTTCATTGTAATTGGGCATTTTTTTTTTCAAAGAAACCGACTCTCCTACAAGAGCTGATCTACAATCTGTTTTTTTAGCCCTTTTTCTTTTTGAAATTTAAGGTTAAATGTCCACTGTCAGTGCCCTTACTTTTGTCTTGTTTTTATTTTATTTTTTTAAAAATATTTTATAAGTTAAATT